TTTTGCACTTGAAAAGGAATTAAAAACACAATTGTTTATGTATAAGGAGAAAACTCTGTTCCAAAGCTAGAGAAATTCGAGTTTTTTTTCTTGCAAACAATAGGAACGAAGAAAAAATGCTTCTTCTGCATTATATATTCGAGTTGTCGTAAAAAACTTTTATTGACAATTAATTACAAAAGATTTTTAAGCAAAGTATCTTGCAAAAAATGAACATAATATTTAATATCAATCAAGGGTTACCCTTTTTTAAATCGATTAAAAATCCTTTTTGGCGTATAATTTTTCAATTCCTTTCCAAGCAAATAAAATATCAGTTAAAACCTATTATTTTAATCTTACGAAACTATTTTATTTCATTTTATGCGTTAAATGACTTTTAGTCCAGGTATTTTCAAGTTAATTTTGACAACCAACAAAAAACATTTAAAAATCGAATCAACAAAATAAAAAAGTATTTTTTTAAATTGCTTTCGGACTTTGCGTAATAATTATCTTCGTTTACAATTAATTTAATCAATTTTGAGTCTTATTCTATAGACATATGAATGTTGGTGATCGAAGATATAAGATTGCGCAACGTAACCTTTTTGTACCAAGCTCTAAATTTAATCAAAGAATTGGAATCCTGGATTTTAATAAAAAAAAATGAGAAAATCAGTCTGTAACGTTTGCAAGTTCGTATTTTTAATTACCTAAACTTTTAAACTTATAATTATGGTTACAATCGAGGCGTTAGACATAAATGTGCTTACGATTATTAATTAATCGATAACTAATTAAGAAACGAGCTAAAAGTTATGCTAATTACAAAAAAAAACATTTAAAAAGTCTTCTAATAACACCCTGTTTTTAAATTATGTTTTCTTACGATCGCTTCGCTTATTCGTAAAAAGTTTTAAACTATTTTAAATGTATTTTAAACGATGTTGCAGTTAGTGATTTGTTTAATTTATAATCGCGAAAGTTAGTACATGTTATGAACAAAAAAAATAAGAGTTTTAGGGCTGATTTTTTCAATAGTCAGACAAATTATATCTGAGGAATAAAAATTGTTGCTATCACTGTCTTATGCAAACATTCTGACGCGACAGCATCATCATTATTCCGCAGGTAACTTTTATCTAACAATTGAAAAATCAGCCCTTAGAGTGACGTCATACAGCTTAGAATTTACAGCCATGCAAACTAAAAATGTATACAGAATTACAGCTCAATGTGTTGAAGATATCTATTTCGAAATTTTGTTGGAAGATTTTACTTCATAAACATTACATGTAAAAAAAAGCTTGCAAAGTATAATTAATTTTATTCCCCAGGCCAATTGACCTGTCAGACCAAATATTGTTATTTTTTTCTATTTATTTGTATCAACTTAAAATCCATTTGAAGACGGCGACATTTTTATTAATTTCAACGTAAAAGAAATTCTTAAATGATGTATTGAACAGACAGATTGTTATTTTTTTTAATGAAAATGTTAAATTAGCAGAGAAACACAAAACGAATATTATTAGAACAAGTTCCAAAGTCGAAAAAGGATTCAGAAAAAATATGAGTAAAAAATCTTTAAAGGACGGTATAGACATTGTTAATAATATACTTTTTACGAAAAAGCGAAAACGGTAAAGAAACACTGTTTTTTTATTATTATTATTTCACTAAAACTGCAACAATGGACATTCCTGAACACAGTGTAAGTTATTGCACTAAATGGATCCAAAAGCACCCTTCTATCAATAATTACCTTTCGCTACTAAATTCACAATACATAAAAATTCCAAAAAAAAACAACGATAATTATGTCGATTTTTGTAAACGCACAAAAAAGACAACATAAAAAAAGAAAAAAGATCTCATTCCAAGTGTAAAAATATAACGGAAAAATAGGTAAAAAAATGGTATAAATGATAGTTTTTTTTTTTTTAATATAAATGTCATTCCTACACTAAATACTAGCATAAATGTTGAAAGGGAAAGGGCGTAACATTTTTTCAACAATAATCATATTTTTTTTCATAAAAATGTACATATCAAAACATCGCCAGCGATTTTAAATAAAACAAAATGCGTTGCAGAAAAAAATAAAACAGCCCCTTCGCTTTTACATTTGCTTAACCAAAACGCATGCATATTCGAAGTCGTTGAGAAACAGAGAGAGAAGGAAATAGAACTGACTAATAGAGGAAAAGAGATAAAACATACATCACCTATACAGCTTGTTTTTTAATCAAATATTTCATACATCTTTTCTCTGCGGTCAGCATGAGTTTCATCGCTGCAGTGGGCCATTAAGATGGACTCGCCGACTATCGGATTCTCAAAGCATAAAGAACAGGCATAGACAGCATCTCCGAAGCAAACGATTTTATTGTCATCCCGGTACATTGTCATTGGATTTAAAACAGTACTAGGTTGAATCTCCTTACCAGCGGCCATGCACTTCTTGATATAAACACTTTTGTACAAGAAATGGATCTTCTCACAGTGCGTTTGATTCAGAATATGCTTTAAAAGACCATCTTCTTCGACTTCTGTGATTGAACAAGCTGGGCAGAAGAAAGTGATAGCATTTTTGCATTCATCGTTCTCCGAATCACTTCGGATCTGTATGCTATGAACTTGTACGTAGAATGTTATGCGTTCAATCGCTGGTTTTTGCTGTAGAGTACTGAATAGTGTTGAATCTTCGAAGCTGTTGTAGCTGATCACTTGATCTAGAGATTCTGAGAAGGCTGATAGTGTGGTTGAATCCAAACTGAAGTTACCGATGGAGGATGTAATGGATTGGTTGGTTAAATTTTCTTTTGTCACCAAACCGGAGTCTGATTGGCTGATAGAATGATTATGGCACTGGCAGGAGCATTTGTGATCAGACCCATCACTGCTGTGGTCCAAATGGGTATCCGTCTCATCAAATTCAGTCTCTTTAAAGAGATTCAGAAAGGCATCTCGGTAATCGGGGAAATCAAAGTGTTTTATGCGTTTCTTGTTGGAGATTCTCCCTGTTTTGTGTAAGCGTTTGCCTTTGTGAAGGTCGAATGTGATGCTGCGTCGGAAAATAGCCTTGGGCTGAGCCTTCTCCTCTTGCAAATAATTCCCAACAAAAGTATCTAAGGAGTGTCGGAGAGTTAGAATTTGTTTCCTGAACTTGTGCTTTGTTTCCTCATCCTCCTTATCCATCACAAAATTCCAGGACTCCACTGGGCTGTCGCGGTTTCCGTTATCAATGTATGTAACTTGTCCCAGCATCTTGGGAATTTGAGAAAGGTCCGTACCAGGTATCATAGTCACAAAAGACCTGCAGGTAAATATTTTAGCAACTTCAATATGGAATTGGAATTCAGAAAGCAATTTGCGCAGAACACATTCAATTTTCTCCAATTTCATTTGGTAGCTCAGTAGCAAGGAGACTCGTTCTTCTTCGTTCCTTTCTAATTCGACATCACCGAAGGATTCAGGAGTTCCTGAACGCACTAACTGGTTATCACTGGTCGTATCAACCTTACGGCACATTTTTACTTTGGATTTCTTGTCTTCTTTACCCGAGAGGTCCGTGTCGGAGCAGTCGGATAAAGACTCAATATCTAACTCCTCATCGGACTCCGTTGATATGTCAAACTCGAAAGACTGGCTGAAGTTAAGCTGTTTGAACCTCTGACTGAAGATATCAGCGCTCTGGCAGTCTAAAGAGATGTGTGTTGGTGTATTTTCGATGTGTTGACGGTCTCCCTGATACAGAGATTCATTCATGGAGCGGCTAGCTTTTTTTATGTCTATTTTTAAACTGCGACTTTTTAATTTGCGGCCCTTGGTACTGACCTCGTTGATGCTAAGGAGGTCGGTGTCAGATAACGAACCTTTTTTCGCTGCGAAGTTTTTCACAGATGTTGGAAGCTTGAGACTTGTTGCATGGGGTTTTGATGTAGAATCTGGCTCTATGGACTGGAAATCTATATTCTGCGAGGACTCAGCTTTTGTAGAAGTATTAGCTACGTTTTCGCGCACTGGGTACTCATTAGAATTGCTCTGCTCGCCAGATTTCGAAAAATAAGAAATATTTGAAAACATTTTACGTATTGAAAACGCCATTTTGGCAGCGTTATTATTGTTCTCGACGGCAATTAGAACGTTACTCCAGTTTATTGTTGATTAATCTACCTGTTAGACAATTAAATCAAGTTTAATTATTTTCTCTAACAAAGAAAATTGTTTTAATTAATGTGTAAATGTAATTTACCTTTCTCAATTCCTCGCGGCTCGTTCACCACATTATTTCACACTTAATATCACATTCGAGCAGTTTAACACATTTTCTTAATAAAATTACCCTCAGATTACTATGAATTATAAATATTTTGGCTAAACAAAAAAACTGATTGACAATTTGTTGAACGTCTCTGTGAATAGCTCGATTAATTTAAAATGTACGTTAGTTTTATACGTATAAATAAACTTGGCGCTAGTAGTCTTGAATATACAAGAGATTTGAAAAATATCACGATTTTTCTTGGTACTTCTATTTTTAGAACGATAATTTTTTTTTTTGGAGTTTATGGCCTGGATACGAGTCCTTTAAGCCATAGAACGATAATACGTCAATATTAATGTTGCTATCTTTAAGAAAATACTATGTGCTTAAAATTAATATTTGTAATATAATTTAATTTACTAAATTAGTAACTGAAAAGAAGAAAAACTGAGAGAGGAAACAAATAAAATATTTAAATGCCGTTGTTCTATATTTCAGTTTTTATAAAACAATAGTTTGAGTACAAACCTAAAAGAAGGTTAACCTTCAGAGAAACTTTTAAACTACCCAAGTATGCCCCAAATACGCAAACATACAAGATCTTATCAACGAATTTATTCGGAACTGGAAAACTACCTATTTCTACCATAACGCTAATTTTACTATCAACGAAATCCATTCTGCGTAATTTGGACCGCACCAGTCAAAACACCAAACAACAATAAAAAAAAAAACAATCTGTCACTCTATCAGATTCACAGTTTGACATCAACGCGATATTTCCTTAAAATTTTTGTTATAAAATTCGCTGTAAATGCGATAGAAAAACAAAATGAAACCAACAATAGATATTGACTCGTTACGTACGGAACATGAATCTGACGAACAATGGGAAGTGAGGAGGAATTTTATGGAGGAACATAAGAATGACTTCGAAGAGGGTGAACTGATCACACTAGCGCAATTATTCACTAATATCGAGTTTTTGGGATGTCGGTACGTAAAAATTTAAAGCTAACGTAATAAACAAGGCTTTTAAAGTATTAACTGTTTATAATTGTATTTTAGTAGATTAATTGCCGTTTCATTTTATACCTACCTTAACATTTTTATGTATCGTGACATTTAAAAGAAAAAAATAACTTGTAGAGCTTTTCCCACTTAATTAATGTGCGTGAGTAAGACATAATTTTCAATATTTAGATATTGGTATAGAATTTACTTTTATGTATTTATCTAAATATATGTTATTGTACTCATTTATAAAGTACTACTTACCTAAATATACACATTATTATAAATTCTTCAAAGAACAGGCTTCCACAAACCTGCATCGAGTGTACAATGGGCAATCTTATCAATGTGGTGATTTCTTCTAGACAACCTATTACTTAGTTTTTATCTAATTAATCATGATTCTGTGCCTACCCTACATTAATTATTATTCTGGACTGTACCTACTTACATTAAGTTGTACACATCTATGACACAGAGGGAAATTTTTTTTTTAGTGTCAGAATAATGTCTTCTTGCATCCTGGCTGACAAAAACCACTCCATTTTGAGCCAAGGCCATGGTACATATTGTCTTTGCACATGTAACTATTGATAGCAGAAAACCTTTATAGTGGATAACATTAACCTATAATTGTAGATTAAATTATGAATAAATAAATAAATAAATTAATCCTATCCAGTTGCAGGATGATGCCAAAATGAATGTGTAGTACTTATGCACCTTTGTCTTTATTGTATTACTACTCTCGCGCGGTTTCACCTGCTGCTCGGCTCCATTTGATCGTAGCAAGATGTTTAATAGCCTATAGAACTCAGGAACATTGTAGCTATCGATCTGTGAAATAATTTTGGCAATCCAACCAGCAGTTCCAAAGATTACCCCCTACATACAAACTTACAAATTTTACCTCTTTATAATATTAGTATAGATTTTATAGATTAGTATAGACTTTGAAATTTATACATACAAACCTTCCTCTTTAACCACTCTATTTATTTAAACAAACTGCATCACAATCCACTGCATAGTTAAGTATTTATGAATATAGGGACGGAGAAAATTTTATACTTTTGTTGCACTTGTTGTATAAATTGACTGCACGGTTGGTGCGGTAGCTGGGCAACTGGCTGCCGTGCAACGTGTCGCGGGTTCGATTCCCACACGGAACAACTCTTTGTGTGATCCCCAAATTGTTGTTCCGGGTCTGGGTGTCATGTGCATGTGAAATTGTATGTTTGTAACCGCACCCACGACACAGGAGAAAATCCAAGTGTGGGGCAACGTGTTTAATAAAAAAAAAATGAATAAATAAATAAGTACTTAAGATTATTTAACAAAAATGATATATATAAATTAACGCATTTAGTGCCGCCGACTGGCCTAGAGAGACCACGTAATTTTTCTTATTCCAACGCAGTGGACTCGCCTGGCGTGTTCAAAGTAAAGTGTTTTTTTTTTGATGGAATAGGAGGCAAACGAGCATACGGATAACCTGATGGTAAGCAATCAGCGTCGCCCATGGACACCAGAAACACCAGAGGAGTCACAGGTGCGTTGCCGGTCTTTTAAGAAGGAGTACGACCATTTCTTAAAGGTTTGAAGGTCGTATCAGAATTTAAAAAAATATTAGAACAAACAAGTGTACGACATATTAGCGGCATCCGAGTTATCATTGTGAGAATCGTACTTGTAATGAACGTTTTAATACATCAAATCCCAAGAAAACGCTGGCGTTCGCGTAGACGTATGAGAAAGACGGGTGGAAAGTTCCTCATCCTCCATTGAAAAGGGAGGATCTTCCGACCAGGCGAGGTGTTCGTGCCTGGTGGGCCACTGCCAGACGGTGATTGTCGGGATTTTTCTATAGGTGCTTATTAGCGCGTAAACTTCACTTGCGCGATGTAGAATCTTGCACGTGATTGGTGTTGTTGTTAATTTTGTGCGATAGATGTCGCTACAAACCCATTTTTTTTTGTATTCAAGCTAGTTCTACTTATTGATTTCAGATACCCCCCAGCTACGATGAAGAGGATAGCCAAGCTTTCAGAGAAAGTATCAGCAAAATATAGGGAGAGTAGAAAAAACAAATTGAAACGGACATTTGTACAAGCTAGTGACGCAGCTGAACAGAAAGCGAAGAGATCTTTCACTAAATAAAATAAATTTAATTTTAATTATATTTCATTCATTTTATTTCGTCTGTATCCTTTAACGGTTTTGAAGTATGGGAGAGCCATGCTTCGGCATGAATGGGTCGGCTCGACTGGAGTGGTACCACGGCCTCACAGAAAACCGGCGTGATACAACCACAGCGTTGTGTATCGCCGTGTGAGTGAGGTTACTGTAGGCCAATTTTTCCTTCTTCTTCCCACCCCTTCTTTATGCTGAAATACCCCAAATTAAATAACATGATGGTACCTAAGCAATCAGCGCACCCCCTGGACATCCGCAACAATGGACGAGTTACCGAGGACGTTGCCACCTTTTGGGGATGGTTTTGGAGATTTAGGGATTGGGGAGTGGAACGTTTGGACTCACTCGTACGGCGAAACATAATGCTGTGGTTGTTTCTCGTGTGAGACCGTGGTATCACTCTGGTCGAGCCGATGCATTGCTTTGGTGCAGAAGTATGGATCTCCTTTTTTTCTCAGGGGAAAATCATCAATGTCTTCTCCCGCCCAGGGCCGGGCGGGAGGAAGTGGCAGACTCTTACTGAGTAAAAACCCCCCCCGTTCTTTCTCCTGCTCTGGGCCGAGGTCGCGGTGCCTCATTGCGCTTACCCCGCAACCCCGGCTGAACATCAGCCCTATAGGGCCCCGTCTGTGGTGGTCTATTGGCTCTTTGAGGCGCGCGCGGAACGCTACGCGCCGTACGCTTCGGGTTTGGTTCTGGTCGGGCGGCGAGCTGCCCTTACTCGCCGTCCGCAGACCCGCGCTTACGGTGGCCGGAGATCATCTTACAGGGAAACTGTATCCTTGTGGGTACGCGACAAAGTGAACGAGAGCTCAGCACGGGTGTCACTAAATAGTACCTGTCTAGTATACAAATAGCCAAAAACATTTTTCGACAACCCCCAGTTAATTGAAAAAAGAACATGTAGCAATTAACTCCCTTAATATGTATTATATTTAAAAAAAAATTATATTTTAATATCTGAATAATTTGAATAATATTTTCACACACGCACACTTTCTTCTATATTCACATTATGTTTCTTACTTCTTTTTTTTACTGAGTGGCGGTACCGCCGTCCGTGACGTGGTCACTGCAGTGTGCCACCTGAAAATCAGCGTTGAGCATATTCGGTCAACTATATGCTGAGGTGGAGGCCCTTTTGGCATGGGCACATGAATATTATTATTTTAACGTTTTATTTTCGTTTTTTTTCTTTTTTAATACTTTATATGTTATTCTTGTTTTGTTTATTATTTTATTATTGTATTTATAAATACTGTGTTCTTATTATGTATTTTTTACCCGACTGCCAAAGAAGGAGGGTAATGTTTTTCGAGTGTATGTAAGTATGTATGTATGTCTGTTCCTTTGTGACCTCCTGTAGCCTAAACGGCTTGATGGATTTTGATGTATGAGGTATCGTTAGATTTGTCTTGATTACGGGAGTGTCATAGGATACATTTTATCCTAAAAGTCCCACGGGATAAAGACATAATAATATTTTTTCTAAATTTCCCTTTAAAAAAACAGCTAAAAAGTTATAAATAAAAAAATTATTATTAAAAAAACAAAATACCCGACTGCACACTAAAAAAAGAGTAAAACAAGCCCCACAATACAAATTTACTGAATATAATTTATAAATGTTGATGGAAAGCATCGCAGGCGGGGACCACCTTGACCGCCACCAACGAAAATTCTGCTAAATGGTGCACAACAGAAATGACTATAAATAAGCCTCTGTTGGTCCCCGCCTGCGATGCTTTCCATCAACATTTATAAATTATATTCAGTAAATTTGTATTGTGGGGCTTGTTTTACTCTTTTTTTAGTGTGCAGTCGGGTATTTTGTTTTTTTAATAATAATTTTTTTATTATATACTTGTATTTGTGTGCCTATTTGTCGAATAAATGCGTTTTCTTTCTTTCTTTCTATCTTAAAATTAGCATAACAAACTTATAAAAAAACCAAAAGTAATTAAAAAAAAAACGTTTATTTAGAAAAACACTAAATTTCTCGATGTTATATACATACATTTTATAACATAACACTTTTTTATAAACTAAACACCTTATAATAATAAAGATTTATACAAACTTTTAATGAAAAAGTATTTATTATTAACATTTTATTCTTATTAACTTTTCACTTCGAACAATTATTTTCAATTCAACTTAAAATTAATGAAAAACATCTTCATTTAGGCCAAATTCGATGTGTAATGTTTTTAAACATACTATAAGGAAAAAATATAATTGAGATGCGTGCTGTCCCACCACAGACGGGGCCCTATAGGGCTGATGTTCAGCCGGGGTGGAGGGGTAAGCGCAATGAGGCACCGCGACCTCGGCCCAGAGCAGGAGAAGGAACAGGGGGGATTTTAGTCAGCATGAGTCTGACACTCCTCCCCGCCCAACCCTGGGCGGAAGTCATTAGAAGAATTTCTTCCCCTCAAAAAAAAAAACCTGTCTCTACCGACAGCTCCGAGTGATAATAAAACGGTTGAAGAACAGCGCACTGCTGTTTGTTGCGTCCAGATGTAGTCTTGTCAGGCCCAGAGGTAAAGGAGCCCGCTTTTCACTGAGAGGACGGTATAAAACCTGTCAAGTACCAATGTGACTTTTTCCAAATTATATGCACTGTCTATGATTATTTAGACACCACTGACATACGGTGAAGGTAAACATCGTGAGGAAACCTGGACTTATAATTTCTAACTGTAAGTTTGAAATCGCCAGTACGCCTTGAGCAAGATGTAATGCTCAAACTTTCTCCGTGTGAGAAGAGGTCTTTGCTCAGCAGTGGGCACTTATAGGCTGATGACAAGGGCGGATCAACCGTTGTGGGCACGATGGGCATGCCCACAACCTTAATACACTGAACTAATGACTATTAGAAATTAGAAGAAATCGTGTCCGACATCTTCCTAAGTTTATTTACATTCCTAAGGCCAAAGTTCTGATGCTCAGAAAAAAGGAAATCATATACAAAAGTTCATAAACGATTTGCATGATTGTTATTGAGCATGTCCATGATCCGACTCGTTTTTTGAAGGCTGGATCCAGCTGATTTGGCTGATTATGTAGTCTAATCTTTGTGCTTTGCTAGTCAACAAGTTAACATTACACATCGTCCTTGGCCAAGCAAATAGGGCAGAGAAAATAACTTATTTCTTTAATGAAAAGTACAAAAACATTTTATAAGATATGTATAATAATAATTTTGATAATGTTACCTACTTTTTAACAGTATAATTTGAATGTAAAGTCTTGTTTTCTCAATAATTTTGCAAGTCTAATCTATATTTGTGGTAAAACTCATCATTCTGTACATAGCAGTTCTGTAGTATAAGCGCCTGTGTCACCTTCAAAAGTGACATAGGTATAAACTTAAGTGCCACATAATTCATACAATTTATCAGGTAAAGTACCTTTAGTACTTTCATACTTTTAATTGTAGTAGAGATTTATATTATTTTATTTTTTTTAATATATTATCTACTAGTCTTTGCCCGTAATTTGGCTTTTATCCTTCACCATATGCATAATTTCAAGACAGACAGACTGTTGATGTTTTTTAACGATGGCAGGAAAATCTAAGTTAATTGAACAATTCTGTTTGACGGGGTAGCCCGATACGTTTCAAGCCAAGTCAGGGGCCCATAATCATAAGAATCACGCGCGATGTCCGACACAATATGTCAACGAGATGAGTAAGACTAATTAGTTTAATTTTTAACACAATTTATCTGTACTAGCGACTCGCCCCGGCTTCGCTCGGGTGCAATGCTGATACTAAATGTCTCCACTATTCAATGGATGTCATTATACATATAAAACTTCCTCTTCAATCACTCTATCTATTAAAAAACCGCATCAAAATCCGTTGCGTAGTTTTAAAGATTTAAGCGTACATAGGGATATAGGGACAGAGAAAGCGACTTTGTTTTATACTATAGTGTAATAATAATAACCTATTTTAATTAATATGTAGGATCCCTCCTAATATAAATATTTACATTTAACTTTACACTATTGTATTAAAATGTCAAATGAGGTAATAGTTTTGACATAGTAATTTAAATAATAATTTATTTAAGAGCTAATTTTTCAATGGTTAGATAAAAGTTACCTGGGGAATAACTATGATGCTGTCGCGTCACAATGTTTGTATAAGACAGTGACAGCAACAATTTTATTCTCAGATAACATTTATCTGACTATTGAAAAATCAGTCCTGAGTAAAAATAATTTTAAAATAACATTTGGACTTTTTGTATCTACGATTTATGTACCTTCCTTTTAAATAATTATGTAAGGCTAACTTGCCCCTAAATTATACCAAGACGCTATACCAGTTTCGAGCTCTTTTTATTAATAGGTCTTTACCTATTGAATTGGCGTTCTGCAGTACAGGCCATTTCAAATCAAAATAGTTTTTGTTAGGCTAAGGCTAATTAATTTTGTTTTAAAAGCATGGGATTCTTTTTTCAAAAGTAGTCATTTGTTTATTGATTAGTGTTAAGGTGCTCCCTTGAACACAGCTTATAACGTTATAGAACATTGTGACATTTATAACAGCGTGCAACAATACTCTACAACATGTTAAGAAATGTTATATGTTATAAACGCTCCCAAATTAGTTGAACTCGTTGTATGACATCGTATAACATTATGTTCAATCAGTTCGGGTTTGTCTTTCGAGGAAGGTGATAGTGAACCAATAATGGAGGAAGTGCTGATAGGTTTGGCGTTTATTTTTTGTTTGAAAAAAAAAGAAGAAAAGGCGCTGTTACTGGATGCCTTGAACTCTGAAAGCGAGAGAACAATACAGTGCTACAGAAGAATATTCTAAAACATTTTGTTAAATGAAGTTGTATAAAATCAATAACAATTTATTATAATTTGTAACAATTTATAACTTTTGTTATAATTTGTTTAAAAAAGTCAGTCTCTAACGTTATATAACTGCTGTGTGGGAGCACCTTTTCATTTTCAT